ATGCATTAGAAAAATTATTTTGAAATTAATATAAAATATTTCAGATAAGAGAGAAGAATGAAGGCAGGGAGACAGAAAGATATCCCAATAGTTTTTCTAAGAAAAAATAAAAAAACTAAAATAGAGTACTGTTATTCAAAATAAAAAGGTAGGGAACTGAGTCAAGAGATTCAGAGGTAAATCCAAAAACACTGGCAATTAATTAGATAATAGAAGAGAAGGAAGAAGAAGATGGTTGAGTCTTGGAGGAAAGTGCTGCCATCAGTAAAAAATAAGAAAGTTAGAAAGAAGAATGAGTTTTGTTAGGAAGATGATGAGTTCAATTTTGGAATATGTGAAGTCAGCCATGGAGGTAACCATGGCAGCTGCACATTTGGGTCTGGAATTCAGGCGAAAGGTCTAGCTAGAGATAAAGTTTTTGGAATCATCAACAGAGATGATACTTAAAGTAACGGGATTGCCAAGAAAGGGAGTATGTGGAAGGGGGAATGGAAAAGGGCCCCTATGGCTTCTTCTTCTGATTGGCTGGTTCCCAGAACCTCCACCTTAAAGAAAATACCCATGCCAACCGTGCCTTCATTTGTCTCCTAGTTTTACTCCTGACTCTCCAATCTTTTTCTACCATTGCCCCTATTTAAAAGACAAAAACAATTTTCTCCCTCCTTCCCACCATTTTAGCTTCCTTTTATATACTGTCTTCCTCCACTAGAATGTAAACTCTTTGAGAGCACTGGTTGTCTTTCTTTCTACTGGTATTTGTATCCCTGTGCTTAGCACAGTGTCTGGTACACAGTAAGTGCTTAATAAATGCTTGTTGATTTGGCTTGACTTTCAGATGTGGAAAGAACTTGCAGAGACATCTAGTTTAATCCTCTCATTTCAAAATTTTGGAAACTGAGGCCCAGAGAGAATATGACTTGCTCAAGGTCAAATAGGCAGCAGGCAAGTGACAAAACTAGGTTTTGGACCCACTTATGTGACTCCAAATCCAACAGTCCTTCCGATGTATCACACAGAGCCTCAATTTCACAAACGGTGACATTTGAGAGAAAAATGTTCTTGGAGAGACAGGGAAGGAAGCCAGAATACATAGGGTTTAGGAGTGAGTGGGTAGTGGTGAGACAATAACAATACTTTCTCTTCTCAAGCATATCTACATGCAATATGAAATAAGTCTGAAGAAAAGAAGAGACTGAAGATGGTGTGTGCGAGGGGTAGGGAATGATTTATGGAGAACAGTACTGAAGGAGAAAGGAGGGAATGGGATCTTAGGTCCAGTTGAAAGGGTTAACTACAGTTGTGGAAACTGAGGCTTGAAGAAGTGATTTGTCTGTGATCACACAAGTGGGTCTGGATGGTATGACTCTCAGTGTGGGATAGGGGGAAGGGCTCTTTTCATTGTGCTAAACAGTAAGCAAACTTGCTCAACTCTGGACTTTTCATATTATCAAACATTATCATGGTTAACACTACCTACATCACTGACAAAGATATTAATAGATTATGGAGTGGCACGGTGGGGGAGTCAACCACTAGCTATGTTTTTCAGGTTAACTCTGAGTTATTGCATATTCTTTTGCTGTGATTATCCTTAGGAAAAGCTGGAAAGGAAACAAAGATGGATTCTGAGGTCTTGAATTAGGAGATAAGAGAATTCCAACCAAGTGGTTCTCCACTGTATTCACAGTCAAATAGGAGATGTCACCTGCTGAAAGAGATGTTCATATTTCCAGACCCCCACCCCTCTTAAGAGGTCATCCTGTTACACAGTTATTTTGCCTTCCCTAAGCACTTTGGAACCCAAACACCAAAGTGAATAATGCTCTCTGGAGAAATTCATTCAGAGCTCCAACTTGGGAGGCAAGAAACAAAACTCCTGTGATCTCAGCAGTGGCAACAGACTCCCATCTCCAACCTACTTATGATGGACCTGTGACCTGGGACAGGAACTAGTAAGCATTGAGATGGGAATGGAATTCTATGATATGGAATTGGATTGGAGTGGTGGGGTTGCAATGTGGGCTCAAAGGTAAGAAGCTGTAGAGGCAGAGCTTTCTGATAATGTAAATCTCTCTAGACACTACTTGATCTAGGACTAACCCCTTCCTTTTCTTCCATGGGTCCCATAGACTTGTCTACCTTTTAATGGAGAAATTGTTATCCTATCCTCTATTTCTATCCACTTTCTATTATTCCAATTTTATCTTAAAACCTGTAAAGTTGTATGTAGGAGTTCATAGAATCTTAGGTTGGAAATGAGGTTCATATATATTTCAGAGGAAAATCAGACCAAGGGCATCTCACCCATTTCATCAAAAGACCTAGGTGATAGATTAAAGTGACAGTTCTATTGTATAAAGATAATAGGACTTCTGGGAGTGGCATTGGGTGTGGCGAGATAGATCTGTGGTTGGAAATACTACCCAGGGAAGAACAGGATACAATTAGCACCAGACCTTGGATGGAAATGTTGGTGGCAATGGTGGGGACACAGAGGATTAGCAGCAGGAGTGAGCTAAAGCAAGCTGAACTGATTGTGAAATGATCAGTGTGAGCATTTATACCTCAGAAATGCAAATGCTACAAATCAGGGCTTGATTTATTGTTTTGTTGATTGTCTAGACATGAACATTTTAATAATGCAGATTAAACTTAAAAGTCCGTCCTGCTTACATTTCTCCCCAGGGAGACAGTTGTCAAATATTTACCAGCACATCCGTGACTAGTGGTTTTAGCCTCGATCCACCTATTCCTTCCTTCTTTTCTCATCACGCCGAGGTCTGTGCTATCTCAGTACCTTATCCAAGACTGGTTTGGAGTGAGTATATGCATATATTCATATATATATATACATACACACACACATATATGTACATATACATATGCATATACATATACATGTAAAGCATAGTTATGTATATTATGCATTTTATATATATTATACCTATTTATAAATACATATATACATACACACATACATACACACATATATACATATGCACACACATATATATGAGCATATATGTGTTGTGTGTGCATGCATGTGTGTGGGAAGCCAATGTCACATCAGTCCAAGGTAGATCTAGATGAAAGGGGCTAAAATGTCAAGGGTCAGCAACATGGTATTAATGGCCACATAAGCTATCATGTGTAATATGGTGGTGAGATGGCTGCTTATAATACGTACAGTGAGTTTATGCAAATCTAGGAGATGTCGCCATGGTGTGCACATTTTTCTTTTTTATCTTGCACTTACCATCAGTGAATTCTGTATTTCATCTTTTCTCCAATTTGCAAAGGCCACTTTGAAATACTGATATTTGCTAAGGCTCATTCAATTTTAGAGCTGGACAAGGGCCTTATCTTATTAACCAAAGTAATTCTTCAGTAAATGAGCACTTAATTCTACAAGCATAATGCTACCAGGTGTGGGGAACCTGTGGCCTCAAGGCCACATGTGTTCCTCTAGGTCCTCAAGTTCAACCCCTTGACTGAACCCAAACTTGACAGAACAAATCCTCTTAACAAAAGGACTTGTTCTATAAAACTTGGCCTCAGTCAAAAGGCCACACCTGAGAACCTAGAATGCCACATGTGGCCTCAAGGCCGCAGGCTCCTCCCCCCATTAGGCTTTGCAAAATGAATGAGACATGGCCCCTGACCTCATTAAGATGACTATCGTGCAGTGAAGGGGTTCTTCACCTAGAGTTCCGTCAACTTAAAAAAACTGATAACTGTATTTCAATGTAATTAGTTTCCTTTATAATCCTACGTATTTTATTTTATGCATTTAAAAACATTGTTCTCAGAAGAGGCCCAGAGGCTTCACTAGATTGCCAAGATCAACAACACACACACACACACACACACACACACACACAGAGTTGAGAAACTCTGATAGTAAGCTCTCATTTTCATGAAGACACTGAGGCTCAGCAGTGAAGTGACATCAATTCAACAAACATTTATTTAGTGGCTACTAGGTACAAGACACTGTGCTAGGATTTGGGCATACAAAGACAAAAAACAAAACAGTCCTTGCCCTCAAGGAGCTTACATTCTAAAAGACTTAACTAAGACCACACAGCTAGGTATGTAGTTTACTGGCAGAACTGGCACCAGAACTCAGCTCTGAACTAGAACTCCTAGTCCTAGGTTTTTTGTTTTGTTTTGTTTTTTTCCACTACAATACTGTAAGCAAGCCTGTTCAACTCATGTTTTTTTCATGGAATCAATGAGTATCCTGCCTAGCCCATCACCCACATCAATGCTAAAGATATTAAATAATAACAGAACTAAGAATGACCCTTCTGGGGACCACTAGCTTGGTCCTTCTCAAGTTGACTCTGAGTTATTATACTCTTTGGTGCAATCATCCTCTTCCTAAAGGTAGTGGCCCAACCCAGACCAGTCTCCCTAGTTGATTGATGAGCCCATAGCCTGGGTCAGAATCAAAGTCTTATTAAAATTGATGTAATAGATAACCTGACTGAATTGGTTCTTTCCTGATCCATGTGAGTTACTATCTAGCACTCTGAGATCTTCTAAGGCCTTGCAAATTTACTTTTAAATGAATAGTTCTAGTAACTTAACCAGTATCTGGATTAACTCCTTCATTCTCTATCTAGTTGTTCTTTTTGTTCTTTCTTAAAAGTGAATGCTACATGACCCTTCCCTGTCCTCTATGAGTTCTTAAAAATGACAAGCCAAGATTATCTTTCTTCACAGAATGGCTTCAGGAACCATTCTGACAGTGGCTTGAGGTCAAATCAATCAATGTAGATTGGATTAGTTGATCAGTCTGACCAACAATTATCAATCATGAGGCAGTTACTATAATCAATGAGTATGCAGACAATGTCTGAGTGACCCAGAGATGCTATTAGCCAATTTCCCAGATGCCTTGATATACATATGACCAGTCCCCAGTAATCTTAAAAAAATGTTCTTTTACATCTTCAAGGATTTTTTCTCTTGTCTTATTTTATTGTACTTTTTACAAACCAGTGGCAGCCACAATGGTTTCATGATTTGCAGATGCCCGGATCACATGATTTTAATTAAAGTGAAAATGGGACAAGAATAAAAATCCAAAGGCCTTTGTTATCCATAAATCATTGCTAAATATTTCTATTTAACAGGCAGATTTTCATTAGTACTTCTGTTTGGCTTTGACAAGTCAAAAGGAATTATTATTTGACTTTTTTTTTTCCTGAAGTTACACATATATTTTTGGAACCGGTTTTCCTAATTTATTTGGGAGGGGGGCACTTTTTATTTCTTAAAATTTAATATTGTGACAATTTTGAAGAAAACATCTAAGAAAAGAATATTTTTGAAATTTCTCATTAGAATTAAAATAGGAAAAGCATGCAATATTTTCAGAATGTTAATATTTATTCATTTACCTAAAAAGAGAGAAAGTGGTTTTATATCACAACTCAGAAACCCTACAGAAAGCAGGTCCTCAAAGACTTCATTTCATAAATAATGCATTTTATTTTATTGCATATGGCTATTAAGGAGAGCATCCATGATCAATACAGACTAAATACAATGCACTATTCTAGTTCCATTAATTCTTGTCTCCAGCAGCATCACATTTATCCTTATATACAGCGTGTACATTGGAAGACAGAGCAAGATAAGTTAAGTCTCTTGTCATATCACAATAGCAAGAAATATATTTAACATCTTGATATCCAGAAACGATACGTACCCAAAAAGAAAACACTTTTAATAACTGTTAAAGTTTATATAGCAAAAAATAGTTTAAATTTAAGGTAAGTCAGGCAAAATGTACAAAGACCCAATATACATTGTGAAGTTTTAGCAAACATAACATTTATACATTTTGGTTCCATTCTGTAAACTAAATTAAAATGTAAATATTGCATATGCCTTTTGTGAAATGTACAGGATAGAGGAAAATTTAGTACATTGTCAATTTTTTTTGTTTTTTTTTTGTTTGTTTGCTTTTAGAGTTGCAGTGTGAATATGAACCATTTCCTATAGTGGCATGACTTTACTGTAAGTACAGAGGACTACTTCAAAATATAAGTCAATACACTATCGTGTTCAGCAGGTTCCACATTCAGTGCTATTTTAGTTGGGGAATTACATAGCAAATATCACCCATCATCTTATTTCTGAAACTAAATAAAAATTTTAGAACATTTTACACCCTTTTAATAAAGCATATTATACACTGAAATTGACCTTCAAACTAGTATTGTATGGCCTATGCAGTGCTGCATTGTGAAATCCCAGAAAATTAAAACCTTAAAAATGTTCAGGGGGATTACTTTACATTCATCTTTGTCTTGTAATACAATCCTCTGTTCTAAAAGTTCAGCATGGAAGGAGGAAGACTTTTTGCATTGCCATTAACTGGATTTGTAAGATTTAATTTTTTGGTCTTCCTCAAATAAACCTCATTTGATTAATGCATTCTTTTACAGTGATGTAATAATATATATATTTTTCCCGTAGCATGAAACTTTTCAAACGTTTCACATCTACACTGAATTAGTGTAATACATACATGACTATCAGAAGGCAGACACTGGGGTTGTACCCATGGAGAAAAAAAGCATGTGAATTCTCCCATCCAATTTCTCAAAGGAGCAGCAAGATGACATAAGATTCTGCTGGTCTGGGTCAGCAGTTCTATGTGACATCTGGGATATTTGCCACAATACTGGTATTTTCAGAACACTGAAAACATAAAACATGGGTAGTCTTGTCAAGACTTTTAGACAACTGACAAGTACTGCAATTTTTTCTTCTTTTTCCCTTAACGTCTGTGGCTGGAATGCCTCATTTTTCTTTTTGTACAAAGCAGCCATATTGGCTGGCATGATAGTATTAGAGATAACATTTTTTTTATCTGCCAAACACCCACGACCACCCTTGCATTGCTAGCATGCCTATGTGGATTTTTGGTTATAAGAAATGCAAGCTCAATATTAGGGGTAGCAGAGAAATTTGAGCTTGTAAATAGGATAAAAGGCTTTTGCAATTCAAAGTACCTACATAAACATCTACATAGAGAGGATTAAACAAGTCTGTCAAAGGTAAAAAGAGATACTCATCCCCTCCCCAAGTCCCTTCCCACCCCATCCCACCCCCACTTCAACCCCTATAGAGTTTTATGATTTTTAACTTAGGTTGCTTTAGTTACACATTATAACTATTCTGCATCCATCTTCAAAGTCCAACATAAAATTTTCATTTATTGAGACTGTTCAGTTCCATATTGGGCTCTCTGTCTCTAAATAAACCCCTACAGCTAGTGAACTGAGATCCAGCAAGCTGCTACATACTTGAATAAGTTCAATAAGGCTGATGACCATTCTTCAGAAACATTCAGCATAGACATATAAAGGAGGTCCTGCCGTACCCCAACAATACAAATCCGGCTTTACTTTGAACTGAGGTAGGACTGTGGTAATTTTGAGAGTATACCAGTAAATACCAGATTTTACTGCTTTAGTGGGTGTTAACAGAATCTCCTAGCATGCTGAGGGATAAATACAGTTTGTCTTTATAAGGATGGGGAGGGGAGAGAAAAGAAAAGAGGAGTAAGGGGAGAAGAAAATGAAGGCATTGGCCACCACTTCAGGTGGCTTGCTAAAAAGGTCTAGATTTCTATAGAATAGCTTCTTCAATTAACTTTCTCAAGCAGCAGCATGATGATAGATGCCAAAAACAGGAAACAAATGAGGCAGGTCATTTTCCTTTCTTTGATGATTCCTTGTCTTAATGTAGTCTATTATCATCTCAAAAGTTAAGTAACTGCCCAGATCAAAAAAGAAAAATAAACCATAAGCAGCTTCAGATTAAGAAATGACAAATGCTGAGCAGCTTGTGTTGTTAATGTTATACTCCGGTGTATGAGGTCATGGTGATCTAGCCAGATTTTTCACTCTGAAAAGCAAAAAAAATAAATAAAAGTGAGTAATGTTCACCCCATGAAAAAAGAAGGCAGATTTTTAAGGGCTCTACAGAAAAGCATGTCAAAAAGCATTTATTAAGTACCTACTATGTGCCTGACATTGTGTTTGATCTCAAGGAGCTCACAGTCTACTATTTTCCTATACTGTCATTAGGTTCTATAAAATTCAGTTTCCTGTAATTATCAACATATTTACAGGGCAAATTTTATAAACGATTATACAATTCTATAAAAATCAATTTATAATTAATTGTAATTAATTTACAAAAATGTGTTAAATTTTATAAAAGCAAATTCAATAGGGGAAAAAAAAAACAATGCGTCAAGTCTGCAATGTGCTTTGGTATGTTGCCTCATTGGCTTCTTCCAATAACCCCGTAAGATAGGCACAAGAATTTCTTATCTCCATTATATTAGTAACTGTGACTAAAAGGGATGGAGTTACTTGTCAGTGGCCATACAGTTAGGTAAATAGTAAAGACAGGACTGGAGACCAGTGCTTCTGACTCTAAGCTCAGCTCTCTTTGCCCTAAATACTACATTGCTTTCATTCCTAAAAACCACTGGAAAAAAAAAAAACCCTTCATTAAAAAAAAAATCAGTAATACACACCAATGGTAGTCACCATCATTTGCATATTTTGTTTTTCCATCTGTGTAAATTCCAGATATTACACTGTATTTCTTCTTCTTTCCTAGGTGGAGATGGAGCTATCCAGATAATTAAGGTTCAATTTCTTTTCACTAAGTTTTCTCCCCTTCCAAACTTGCTTTATCTTGGTTCTTCCATGGTTTTGCATGTCTTTTTTTTTTCTCCCCAGGCCTCAATAAAATTTTGGCTTCATACCCTCCTCTAACTTTTTTACACTGAATTGGACACGTAACTTAAGCTTCTAACTCGTACTTCTACATGTGTATTACATCTTTCCCGATGCTTTTTAACGTCACATTTTAATTGTTTAAAAATTCTCATGAAATCCCTTCTCTGGATCACAAAAATGACATCATTGGTCCCGCTTATTTGAAAATAAAACTTAAGGAAGCTTCCTGGGACACGCTCAGGCAATGCCAAATTCCTAGTGGACTACATATAGGTCACAAGGTTATCACAGTCCTAAAAGTGTCTCCATCCTGATAAGATAGCCCAGGGAGGAACTAACCCCAAATTTCCATTCCAAAGAGGTTAGAAGAGTGTGGAGCTCAGGGATGAGGTAGGGAATGCAAGATCACACAGAGTTAGATTTCACAGTTTTATGCCTACCTCCAGGATATCAAGTTGCATTATCCCTAGGGCTCACAACAATGTTCTCACACTGCCTTTTTCTACTCAAACCAATTTAAAAGTTTAACTTGCACCAGAAAATGAAGTAGAAAGACATGTAAATAAGGTTTCTGGCCTCAAGGAGCTTATCGTCTAATCAGAAAGTGTGGAGCCTTGAGTCTGTTCTCTTTGTTTGGGGAGTGAGGGAGGAATTGTCAGTGATTAATCACTTAATGTTCAAAGCATTTTTTTTTCCTACCATCAACCCTAATCTTAGAAAACTTATTCTTCTGAAGGATGGGGAGTCTGAGAAGTAGTCCTTCATATGAAAACATTATGAAGTTGATAGAAGTGGTTGATGGAGACAAATTCATTCCCTGAATGAAGGACCAACCTGCTACTTCAACTAGGCCAATAAAGGCCAAGATTAGAGTAGATAAGAAATTGGTAACCAGAACTTCCTGGGAAGTCAACCTGAGTTCATTAATTCCAAACAGGAAAAGCAGTTCCACAAGCTGGGAACCTTTCCTAAGGCACTAATCTGTACATAAAAGAATCCCTGAGGGCCACATTTTACTTTGTTTTGAAATGTAACATTATCAATATTTTATTTTATTTTATTTATTTTGTTAACTATTTCCCAATTACATTTTAATTTGGTTCAGCTGTATTCAGGAGTGTTGTGGGTCACCTTTGATACCACTGGCTAAGACAAGCTGAGGCCAACCTCTTCCTAAAAGCCTGGACAGCCAGGGTTAGCTTTAAACCCCTAGTAATTTTTGTAACCTTTGCTTTTGTTATGTTAAACTCTTTTATTTCCCAGTAGTAATCAGTAGATTAAAAACTCCTTAATTTCAAAGAGTAGGGAAGACAAGAAATATATATTATGTGTCCTTGGTGGGGGGGGGGGACAAAGAGCAGAAAGAAGAATTAATGAGGGTTTCAGAGGAGAAGAGAAATGGGGCAAATGACTCGACTAGGAGACCCTATAGAAATGCCTGAAAAGTGAAATGATAATAAAAGATTTAAACAGCAGTTCAAGACAACAATGGAAGAATGTCACAAAGCAGGTCCTGATCAATGGCCCAAGTTGTACTGACAAGAATTGCTACTGCGGTCTAGAGGACAGAGAGATGACTTCAGCTGGAGATGGTCAGAGGAAGGTTTTACAGAGGGTATCTGGGACTGGAGAAAGGTCTTAGAGAATAGACAGGATTGGGATAGGCAAGAAAATAAAGACAGTTCCAAGTCAGAGGAGCACTATGAAAAAAGGAACAGACACAGAAAACAATAAAGCAAGTACCTTCCAGGGACAGTTGGAGGAAACAGTGGCCTCCAAGAGAAAGCTGGTGAATGAGAATAATGGAAGGTAGGTTTATTGTTGTTCAGTCCTTTTCATTTGTGTCCAATTCTTTGTAGCCCTGTTAGGAATTTTCTGGGCAAAGATACTGGAGTGGTTTGCCATTTCCTTCACTAGCTCATTTTACAGATAAAGAAACTGAGACAAAGAGGGTTCAGTGACTTGCTCAGGGTCACACAGGTAGTGAATGTCTGAGGTTAAATGTGAACTCAGGAAAATGGGTCTTCCTGACTCCTGACCCAGCACTCCATCCACTATGCCACCCAGCTGCTCCATGGGAAATAGGACTAACAGATGGCTAGTATGTGACTATGTTGGCAGGTATTTTATCATAGAAACTAGTTACTTCTTTTTGATGTGTCCTTCTGTGAACTTTTTTAAAAGTTCTGATTTTGGTCATCTTAGAGACAGCTCAGAGGTACATTGGCATAGTAGACAGAGTCAGCCTTGAAATCACCTTGACAAGTCACTTAACCTCATTGTGACCTAGGCAACTCTCTTAGACTCTAAGTTGCAGGAAAAAGGAGTTCCAAAAATGAATGACACAATGGGGAGAAAAAGAAAGGGAACAGGCTAACAACAGATTATGGAGGATCTTGAGTTTGGAATTTATCCCGTTGGCAAATGGGAGCCATTGAAGATTTTTGTGCAGGTGAGCAGCATGGTAAAAACAGCATTAAAGGAAGATTAATTGAACCATGTGTAGAGGAAAGAATGAAAGGGAGAGAAACTAGAGATAAGGAGACAAGTTAGCAGATACTTTAGAATGAAATCTAGGTGGCCCCATGGATACAGTCAGACCTAGACCTGCATTCAAATCTGGCCACAGACCCTTACTAGCTATGTGACCCTGGACAAGTCTATTCAACCTCTTTGCCTCACTTTCCTCATCTGTAAAATGAGCTGGAGAAAGAAACGTCAAACCACTCTAGTATCTCTGCCAAGAAAACCCCAAATGGGGTTTTCAGATACAACTGAAAAAGTTAGAGACACATTTGAAAACTTTGTTTATCTAGTGAAGCAGACTCCAAGGTGGAAATGTGACTTTTGTTTCCTGACTAATTAAAAACAAAAGTGAGAAAAAAACAACCAATTCTACTGTTGCTTTAGAGATAGAGATCAAATCTATTAGATCTCATGTTCTTCAGAAATCCATCTTTCTACCAATCAGTGTGCCCTGCCTTCTTCAAACCAAACTGGCTCATTACTGGCTTGATACCAAAACAAGCTTTAGCAAACCCTCTCTATGATGGCACTGCTGATACAAGTAGACAGCTTGAGAATGCTTAGTGATACTCACAAAAACATCAACAGAGTTAGTCATCAGAAACAATACTTGTTAACAGAGAGAGATGAAGGGTAGAAATTGAAAGGCTGGAGATAGATTTCAGTTCTGATAAAGATGACTCTTCATTTCCTGAGATCTAACATGAGGATTTAGGAAGAATGGAAGCTTATTTATTAAACCCCAGAGATACCTCAATATGTCCCTCCTTCCAAATCTCTCTATGCTTTTGGTTATCCTTTTCCCTGTGCCTGGAAAGAAGCCATTCCTTCCTGGATCTTTGTTGCTTGATTTGAAATCCTTCCTTGATTAAGGCCAAATTTAGGTGTCACCTCTTTTCACAAAACTTGCCTGATCCCATAAGCTGAAAATAATCTCTTAATTCCCTATCTCTCTCACAAATGATCTGTATCCCTCCTATGTATTTTCTCTATTCTCATTTATTATTCTTTAACTTATTATCTCTTAATTGAGACTGTAAGCATTTTGGGTTAAGGGGCTATTTCATTTATCTTTTCATTCTCTACCCCCAATACAGTATTGTCCATATGGAAGATGCTCTAATCAATAAATGTATGATCAATTGAAATCTCTGAGCTCACCTCAATTCAACAAATACTTATTAAGCTCCAACTATTTCAAGGCATAAAGCTAGGCACAAGGAAACAAAGAAAAAAACCACAATAGCTCTTATTCTTAAGCTTACAATCTAAAGAGAGAAATGGCATACACACAAATAAGTTTGATATGGGGTGTGAGAAAAGTAAAATGGAAAGATCTCAGCCAAGTTTTATAACAAGTTTGAAGGAAGGATTATTTTTACTTCAGGGCAAGGGAAGAACAACAAAATTTCTATGGGGGAGGCAGAAACTGCATTGTGTCTTGAAAAAAGAGGGGAACTTCAACAAATAGAGACGGGGCTAAGTAAGTCCACTCATGATATGGAGGATTAGTGAACAAAGGCACTGATACTGGACAAGAGCTAGAAAGGGTCTACAATCCAACCTGGATGAACACAGAGTACATGATGGGGAGTAGCATGAAATTATATATATGTATATGTGTAT